GTAATATGGGTAATTTAGGTAATCTATTAATTTTGAATTAAAATATTTATTTTAAATCATTAATTGTGGTCAAAGGCTAAAATCCCAAACTGTATTATGAAATAGACCATTTGCCCCAATTACCACTATAATAATAACCTTAGGGCCTGGAAGAAAAGAGAAATATTTTTCCACAGCCACGGTCGGAGCAGCTTCTTGACTTCTCGGTTCCGCTGTCGAAGAGCGTCTCTATGTAAAAGCTACTGGGTAATGTCCTTTTTGCTTTTTGTTCCTTGTTCTTTTTACTGTCTTTACATAAATGATCCTGCATCAATTCATACCGACCTCATTTTGAAAAATCAAACCCTTTCTTCATATCTGATATACAAACTGAATTGTCCTTTCACTTTGCTGAGCCGATTAGTATTTTTTTGGTTGCTTAATTAAAGTGGGTACTGGTCGAATATTTCAAACATGTAATTTCAAATTCCATGCTTAATATATATTTATTTATTTTTGGAAAATTTAAAGCCTTTTCAAGAATATAAACATTGAAGATGAAACTGCAAAAAAAATTTAAGAAAATTGATCGGTATTGTCCATTATAGTATACAAAATATGCCATAAATGTCAATTTATTTTAAGAATTGAGAAACATGAGCCATGTAATGCCATTTCCTCATATATAACTTAAAACTTTTCGAACCAGTTGAAAAAAACAGAATATATTTATTTATACTTCATCTGTTTACGTACGGGGACCTGTGCTGTGGGGCAAGTTGGGTTCTTTAAAAAGAACCGAATTTAAGCTCAAAAAACACTAACCGTCTGTTTGATTGGAAGGGTGGAATTTGGGTGGAAAGAAAATGAGTTACATGGAATTGAATTGCTTAGAAATGTCTTCCTGGGAATTGTCAATTAACTTAGTTTGATTGGTATAATTTTCTACCTGGAAAATGTTGAAATTTTGGATCTTTTGGTGTTCATTTGACTTTGTTTTCCATGGAATTGTCCATTAAAGGGAAAAAAATTTGACAATTGTCCAAAGAAATTGTTTTCATTAAAAAAAGAGGCTGGAAACCATTTTCCCACCAAAGTGGTGGGAAAACCAATTCAACAAAAACAAGGAAAAAGGGGCCACGTGGGAGGAAAAAAAATTTCATGGGAAATTTTGGCTATCAGACATGGCAAAAATGGGAAATGAATTCCATTTTCCATGGAAAAAAATGGCCTACCAAACAGGCCCTAAAACCCTTGGACATACTCAGGTGGCGATGTCTATCTTTTTGAATTTTCTTTTCACTATTGATTTGTGTATTGCTAATTGTTATTTTTTGTTCTAATGCCTTGTTTCTAATCCTTGTTTTTCTTAGTTTATATTCTGATAATTTTTGCGGATTTAGCTTAGTCTATTTTGCTGCTGCAAAGATGGTGGAAACCCTTTTTGAAGATATATTTCGAGTTGAAGGACTGAATCCAGATGGTAAAAAATTTGATAAAGGTAAAACATCTCATATTTCATCGACGTCGGTATATACATGCAGTATTCACTTCTTAGACAGTTAGCACTCGTTTTTCTGTATGTATCGAGAGAAATAGATTTAGTGATTGTTTATGGAGCAAAATTAGTGGGCTTCAAGGATAGAGGATTGTTTATTGAGGTTTTGATTTTGTAGAGACAGAAAATGTATTAGAAAGAAGCCACGGGAGAGTAGATCAAAGATGGTTAAGCATAAGAACGGGGGTTGAGAGTCACACATACTAGTTTAATTAACATGTACTACGGAAAGTAAATATAAGAATCTCTTAAGAGTTTGGACAGATCTTTTCAAAGCTGAAAATGTGGGCTAGTTTATGTGCTATCAATTGTAATGTTAAAACTTCTATCTGAGTCTAAATTGATTTTCAGAAAATTCCGCTGCCATAAAGTTGATTCCGAATTGATAATCATATTCTTTTTACGTACTTAACAAAACGAAATTTTTGAGATGAAGCCGCCAATATAACGAACTAACTACTATGTTGAGCCCTCCACAAAATTTTAATTATTGAAGTTTTTATCGGGAATTTTTTTTTCAATGGTAGGAAGCAGTAATGTTAATTAAAGGAATTTGGTCGATTGATAGCTTGTTTTTCCCAGAAAGTATTGTTGGTTGTGGAACTGTGTTATATTGACACAAGTGCCGTTGCAGCACATCTAGAACTTTTAGTGGAAATTAATTGTCTGCTATAAAAATCTCAATGGAAGATGCTTTAGATCTCCACAGTAAATTTTAACACGTTCCCCTTCCATCATAGTGTTACATTCATCATGTGGACCAACACAAGCTATCAATATGCAAAATAAGGTGATTGGATGAAGAAATTCCTGTATATGACGACATGATGTAGTGATGCTAATGCTAAAACTCACTTTAGGCTGATAACCAAAAATCAATGGAATAAATGGCATTTAATAGTGTCCTAACGTTTTTAAAGAAGCTCAAATGCTGGTTGAGGAGAGGCATCTGCTTTGTAATGTGTGGAATATAATGTTACTGCCGTTGAGTTTCATCATTATTTCTAGTCTTCTGTGATTTATAGCTTGCAGCCTGCTTAAAATTTGACATGTAATTAACACATTTGTAACTTAGACCATACTTGTAACATCCTAATGTATTCTTTAGTGACTCGAATAACGGCAAAAAGTGAGCAGTTTGACATGCTCATGGTCCTTGATATCAACTCAGACATATATCCTATGCATGTTGGAGAGAAATTTATGATGGTATTAGCATCCACTCTGAATTTGGATGGAACACCAGACACTGGTTATTTCAATCCGGTAATCTTTCTCTCGTTTATGTAGATTTCGGCAATTTGCAATCAGTTTTATTAATGTTTCCTTTCTAATCGTGGAAGTAATTTACTTGCCTTTCTGGTCAATAACAAAGCTATCATGTTCTAGAAAACATTTAAATTCTGCATACCGGATTTCCTTTTCTTTGATACTGTGACCTTCATAAAAAATGTTGAACAATTGATTCACCGACGTAATATTTAACTCCTGGTCACGATTAGAGCTATAAAAAGGTTTGAACAGTCTAGGACTGGCTTTAGGTTGGCTAGTTTAAAGCTTGTTCAAGCTCTGTGATAGAGTAAAAAGAGCTAAATTTGAACAAAGAATTGTTCTTGAAACATTTGATCTCAGTTAAACTATCAAGCACCAACTCTAGTATGAGTTAACTATGTTATTTGAGCTTTGGTTTGTTTCGATTTTCAAAAGCTTAGTTATCTCTGCTCAAATGAATAAATTAGTCATGATAGAGCTCTTTTTTAGGCTTGTTAATTTTACCAATATGATCTTGACAAGCCTAAAGCTTGGCTTGATCCGACTCATTTGCATCCTATGTACAGTTGATATTTTAACTCAGTCTTGTTCTGCAATCTAATCTAAGTTGTCGTCAAGATTTTTAAAGGAAATATCCTCCTACTTTGTCCAGAATCGCCAGATTATTTACACACAAGAAATGTTATTTATCCCTAAGATATGTCATTTTTATTTTTATCAAGCCTCAAATCTCATTCTTTCCTTCGAGACCTAGATATGTCATTTTTATTTCTATCAATTTTATTGAGGTATATGCTTGAATTTGTGCATTATTGAGCATTTTTGCGGACTTATTTGTTAGAAAAATGAGTTCGTGCTTTTTGCTTAATAAATTAAGTTCTTAATTTATAAGTTTACAGAATTATTATGTTTTCTATCTAGATGTATGTTTTGAACATGTTAAATTCATAAAATACATGTGTAGTTTCAGTAATTGTGTTTTTTTAAGACATTTGTTCCAATTTCAAGTTTTGGCTTCAATCTCACTTCTAAGGTAAGCAATGCCTTGGTCTAACTTGGTGGTTTTAAATTTTATCTGAATAGTAGACTTGATTGTTGGATTTTTATTTTTATGGAATTTGTTGTTTTCTATTGTAATCTAAATGGAATTTTGGAACTTTGCCATTTGCATATTGAAATTGATTTTGCTTTTATGGTTGAAATTATTATTTGGAATATGTTAGCATTCATTTATTTGTTAAATTTCATGGTAAGCAATTATGAAAAATAATTTAAACGAATAATCTTAAATTTTGAAGGAAGAGCAAAATATCGGTGAAATGAGTGACTAAAAGGAAATGATGCTCGAAAAAATTATTTAAAACTTAATTTTCGACTCACAATAAAGAATGTTTTGCACCGCCACTTCACAAGAGTTGTGAGATTTCAATAGAACATGTTATTTGATGAAACAAAATCAAGGCCTCTATGGCTCTATCTATTAGGTTATATGACAAGCATCCAACCTCTTCACTTTCTAGTTCCTGAAATTAAATAATTTCATGAAATTTAGCTATTTTGCTGTTTGAGGCGGGGTAGTCTTACCGAAGTACTAAAATAATCAACAATAGTGATACCTGCAGTTCTATTTTATGTGCTGATTTTACCTACTGCTGGTTATAAATAATTTCAAACAATTATTCTTTCACACTGCATGCTATTGATGGTAGTCGCTACTCAAAATGATGAAGTGCTTGTCTCTATTATCTGGTTTCAGGGTAACAGGAAATCGCTTGCAGACAAATTTGACTATGTCATGCAAGGGAAACTGTACAGAATCTCAGAGGAAAGCTCACACAAGCAAGTCAAAGCGTATGTTCAAATACCTTTTACTCATTTATCTGAGACGTCTACACCTTAAGTCTACATTTATGAGATTTTGGATTATAAACATTTGCATATTAGTGCTTGTTTGGTAGAAATTGTAATGAGATTATAATGAAAAGGAGTAGTGGGTCCCACGAAATGTCTGGATGATAAGTGGATAGTAGTTGTAGGTCTTAAATAATGTGTGGTTAAAATTGATGCTCGACTTTGATCTTTATATTATAATGAGATTATAATTTCTTCCAAAGAAGCACTTAGCCTCCTTTAAAGAAAATGCTGAACCTCACATCAGGGGTGGGGGAGAGGGTGGTTTTGTGCATGCGACTGTCTTGCACGCAACCCTTGTAGTTTTAGGTGGCTTGTTTAAGTAGTTCCTAAAGAACTTATTCATTTGGAATTGTCTGCCATTTTGCGCATGAACTTTTTTCTTTCAATTTTAATTCGTTGGATTCATGAGCATATTTTTGATATCAAGATTTTTTTCATGTACAACGTTCTAAATTGTTGTTTCCAGGGACATGTATGTTTCTTTTGGTGGACTTCTGATGATGCTTAAAGGGGACCCTTCAATTGCAGCAAGATTCGAGCTCGACCAGAGGCTGTTTATTCTCGTAAGGAAGGTTTGAAATCCTATTCCAACTTAACCCAAGAATTTACTTGTCGACTGTCAAAAGGGAACTTTAGCAATTTATCTATGTATTTCCTCGATGCCTGCTAAGATTGTAAGTATGGTTGCTTTGAAGAAATTTAAAACTGTATTATAGAGAATCCTCTTCAGCGTTATTGCTCGAAAAAAGTAGCATGCTATACGTATGTTATGAAGCATAGTATATTTCGACCATTCTTTTGCTCTCATTTTCAGGCTTCTTGTAGTTATATGCATATGTTATTTAGCTCGTGTTTGGTGCATATTATTTAAAATTCATTTTTCTCTAACCTCAATTTTATTCGCGCATTCTCTCAATAAAATAATTTTGTACGTGGATCAGTGACTTTTATATACTTTTTAACCACATTCTTAATAAAATAAAAAATCACAAAATTTATTCTCAAAAGATCTATATCGAACCTTCCTTTTTTTATCCTTGCTACACGGTTTCTCATCGAAAAGTGCTAATGTCAAATTTAAGCATACTTTTTCTCTTCTCATCATTATGTAAGATTGAATTGAACGAAACCAACGGCGAATTAAATCTACTTATTTTCGTGATGAAATGACTTATATTCACAAAAAATTAATAAATTGGGAAAGATGGGTTGGAATCTACAACGTCATTTGATTTGATGTGGTGTGTTTATGAGTTCTTAATTGGGAAAAGTTCATGGATCATGTATTAAGTTTGATATTTGCAAAAATCAAGTGTTAAAATTTTAAAATTGTAAAAATCAGGTTTTTACTTTTTATTAATTAATTAAATATTTAATTGTGCAATTTGATCACATATATCTTATTAATTAGTTAAAAATTAATTTTAGGTCACAGCTTATCAAAAATTTATAGGTCACAGTTTTTTATGGGTCACAGATCAAAAATTCTGTAAGTCACGGATTATTTCGAGGTCACAGATCTAAAATTTCTTAGATCACAAATCAAAAGACTTATGGGTCACAGGTCACGTATTTTCAAATTTGTGGGGTCACGGATTCTTTTTTTAAAGTCACAGTTCAATATCTAGGTCACGGAAACCAAAAAGAACCACCGACGCAGTTAATCCCACCACAACAATAACAAACAACGACCACCACTACACAGATCACCACCACCACCACAGATCCATCACCACCACCCAAAACATACCACCACAGATCCACCACCTCCACACATCCCCAGAACTGGCACCAATGATCAACTAGTGGCCACTGTTTCTCTGCAAATAGCAACTGCCACATCCCAATTGCTGTATCCAATGCTGAAGACTTCTTACCCTTCTCCAAGAGGCGAATGCTCCGACGAGAAGAAGACGGCGAGAAACCTGTACACAGCAGAGGTGATTCAAAAATACCACAAATCGACGTCTTCTTCTCATTCTATTTTCTTCATTCCACGCCTCAACTCCTTGCTCAGAGGTGATTCAAAAATACCCCACCGCACCGACTGTACACAGCAATCGACAACACCCCACCCCCCACCGCACGCACAACACCCCACCGCACACACTGTGCACAGCAATCCATCGCACCTAACCACTGCAGGAGTGGTCGAGCTGCCGGAGCCACCTCGTGATTGTCAGAGGTGATGGATTGGTACAGAGAGAGAGAATAGAGGCAATGGGTTGGAAGAGAGATAGACGAGAGATTGAGAGAAAGAGTTGGGAGGAAATTGATTAGGTTAAGAATTTGAGTTTTAATATACCATCTGGTTTTTGCAAAAATAAACTAAAAACCTGATTTTTATAATGGCAAACCTAATTTTTAAAAAAGTATACCTGATTTTTTAAAATGACAAACTAAACCCCTGATTTTATGTAATTTTCCCTTCTTAATTTTGAAGAATAAAGATCTTGGTTGCAAGCTTTTTTAAATATGTGAATCTGAGTCTTCGCTCCTGTTTGGGACATTTTTTTGCTTCCTTTAGATGAAATTGGCCCGTTATATAGTGAGTTCTGCTACATACAGTGGTCGTTGTCATCGCGACGATGGGTATTCATAATTTTTACAGTGTTCCGAGTGGTGGACGCGGCGTTTCATACAGCGGAAATCGATGAGGATGCTTTCGAGGTGGAGCTACCAATCGCCGAGGACGAAATGTATCCGAATGAACGCTCCTGAAATGCAACGAAATGATTGGGACAAATTTCGCGATTATATGGCACAACAACCGTGAAAATGTACTTTTTTATCTTCGCGCTCTCTTTGTTGTCACGAAAGAAAGTCGATCGACTTATATGATGGCATGTAGTATCATTCATTACGAACAGTACGTCAAATATGGGAGTTGTTGGCAGAAGTTTTTAAATTAACAAAAAACAAAATTAAATAAATAAATAAACGGTCTTCGAAATCTGGCAAGCATGGAAAAATGATGGACCAATGCAGGACCAATTCAACTTTAAATAAATATTAATTTTCCACTGTAAACTATGCATCTCGTGAGTAAGAATGGAATTTGGGCATAAAGTAATAGAAATGATTAAAGTAATGCAAATTGGTTATAAGGGCAAAAATGGAAAGTGGGAGTATTCTTTACAGCTTGCACACTGTTCATGATTGGACGTGGAGAAGGTAAAGTGCAAATTTTCTCTAATTCAACCAATAAAAAAATGACCTAAACAGGAGTTTAATGTAGTCAAATTGTCAATGTGGACACTAAGCTCTCGTTTGGACTTTATTATTTTCAAAATATATTTTTTCAACACACATTTTCGATAACACATTCTTTCATAAAATAATATTACATGTAATCTTAAAAACTTTTCTTCATAATTTAATCAAACATTAAAATTGTTATTTCAAAATACATATTTTCCTAAAATCACATTAAAATGGGGTCTATACAAGGGCTAAATTGTATGTGTTTTTTTTAACTGTTAGAGAGTAAAACAATTAAATCGCTTAAAATTTCTTTTATTAATTCAATCGAAATTCAAAAGTGCGGTTTTAGCGTTTACAATTGAATAAATGTAGAAAATTTTTCCTTGTAAAAATTTTAAATAAATGTAGAATTTTTTTAAATAGTTAGCATCAAATAAAATTATTAAAAACAATGGAAATACCCAAGTTTGAAGAAATCGAGGGACTTAAAACTTTTGTTTTGACAATTGGGTGCTACTCAAAACTTTTGCAAGATCTCTACAATTTAATCGTTTATTTTCTTAATCACTAGTTATTAGTCTTATATCTCAACGATCTAATATGTCTCTCAGACACATTTACCTTGTGATAAACAAGAATTCAAAATATTTTAATTTTCAATTGGGAAAAATATAAGAAAAAATAATAAATATTTATTGGAATTAGTAATATTAAATTTTAAATATAAAGAGTCTGTTAGAATACTTAAAATCTTTATCACTCTAAATTTATAAATGTTTTCTGAATTGTAAAATATGCTATTTGAAAATAAAGTCCCTTGGAGTTAAGATTTTTATTTTAAAAGACTATATATTTCTATTTTTAATTAAAACATAGGCGAACATGTCGTCGTTTTCTCCCACACAATAGGACAATAAGGTAATTTCACTAGCTAGGATACCATCTGAGGCTGTGGCTGCCTTCAATTTCTGGGGTTCAATACAAAGTCAATCAATTCAAAATTTTCATATAATTAGACTCGGACAAAATTTCCTCGTGTTCCCAAACTACCCTTTCCAATTCAAAGTCCAAAATGGCCTAATATTCAATACATTCCACAAGTAGCAATGTACGAGGTCATTTTCGGAATTTCATAACACTTGAAGCTCAGTCTTGTTGACAAATTCTAATTTTATATGGCATGACCTATTCCAACATGTGAATTGACTCAATTGAGTTGGTCAACACGTAACATTTGATTCAATTTAAAAACTCACTTACTCGCAATATAAATACACTATGAATCCAAGCATACTTCACCATAATAAGAAACACAATATTCCCTCTATTCTCTCTCCTATTACAAAAAAAACTCTACTTTCTTTCACAAGCATTTAAGATCAATTTTAGATGATGAATACTCGAAGTGCGACCACTTTGTTGATTATTTTTGTGATTTTTGTTGCTTTCACAAGTCAAATCCAGGTCGAGGGAGCAAGGATTTTGTCAGAGGATTTCTCGAAATCAAAACATCATTCTAAGTTTCCGATAATGTATGAGAAGGCAAAAGATACCATGTCATTTTGGCTCGAGAGGTTGGCATCTGGACCTAGCCCTAGAGGACCCGGGCACTAAGTTAAAGAACTTTTTTTGGCTGGCTAAGCCATGAAATGACGCAAAGAGGAAAGCATGGCAACATAGTTAATAGCGATTGTAATTAGGGTATAACATTCTTTATTTTCTTTCACTTTTTCCATTCATTCATTCATCAATTCTTTCTTTCTTTGTCATAACTTATGTTGTAATTATATTTTGATTGTGTTACTTGAAAAGTAGCATATTTGATTTGTATAAGCATTAATTTTTTAGTAGATTTTGACTAAAGTTAATAAAATGTGTGGTTCAAAAGTTGATAAAAATTGTAGATCCCATGAAATATGTTGTTGAAAATAAATTTGAGACGATGAATTTTAAAAACTGAGAACCAAACAAGGACTAAGAAAATTCTAGGGTTACATAATTTGACTTTTGAGGAGGTGTTTGTGTAGGAGATATTACACCAATAATGTGCATATTATATTAATCAAGAACATACCGTGAAATCGAAATATCATTCGATTTACCCAAATCTAATTTGAGAAGACAAAATAGTGATTACCGACTTTCAATATATGAATATGGATTCATCACTTTCCAATCTTGAACGCGTGTCATTCTTTAATTCAAACCTTGCATGAAATCAAAAGAATATTAGTTACTTTCCGAAATCAAAATACTAAATTAGAATGAAATCGAAAAAGAAAGATGAGATGTAAGTGATGCGATCGGTTGAGGCAAGTGTTTGAGACTTTGTCCTTAAAATGAATTTGGCCCGTATTGGTGCTAACGTTTTTCCGGCAATCATCTCCCAAGATACAACGACCACGTCAAGCCATAGGAGCACTCCAAATGACTTAAACCGACGAACTTGAACGAAGTTCCCTCTCTACCATAACCATGATTTTGATGCAAGAAATAATCACTTCTATAAAGTGTTTTATGCAAAACTAAAGTAAAACATGAAATGATATGAAACTATCAATTAAATTGTTTCTTGTTTCTTCTTGTTGTTGCTGTTGTGCTCCAAACATATGGGGAATCCATATATATAGTAGTTGGAAAGGCTTGTCAAAAGACACAATCATACCAAGAGACACATCTCTTGAATATACATAATTATTGGAAGTTACGCATACCAAAAGTCATGATCTCCAAAGGTCATGATATTCCATATGAAAAGACACATATTTTCATCTACATCATCTCTAGAATATTCCACAATATTCTACACAATTTTTCAATAATTTCAAGTTTAAGTGGTTTAAATTTGGCTTAATTTCTCATTCACCAAATAAGGAATTTCCACTTAAATCATTTCAATTGGTCACAACCATTTTCCAATACAAAATTCCAACAGTTTGATGGATAGTCATAGGCTCATGTTTTGTATAATTCTAATCGCTAACACTTGATTTATAGTGAGAGCTAGCTTTGTTACCAATATTTTCTAAGTTAAGTGTTCTTCACGCCCAAAGTTCACCATGCACTAAGCATTTTTTTTCATAGAATGTATACCAAGTTGCATGGATTACATTTAGCACGGTCACAAATTTTAGGCATAAATTAGTTTTAGTTTTTCGCATCTTGGGGAATTCTTTCCAATATGTACATACATAAGAGACGTAACATGTATGCTCAACTCTAAGGCAGCTCAAGGAGGCTGGAATGGTAGTAGCAAACAAAGCAAGATTGTGGGCCACTTCGTTCACATCTCGAGATACGAAATGACAAGCATAACACTTACTTCATCATTCGCTGCTGTTATTAGCATAAAAGTGCTTGGACAGGGTCACAGGGCAGTCACTGAGTCATCAAAAACACCAATTTTATTGCCTTCTCCAACCCTCCACCCGGGGCCATTCTTTAATGTCTCCCGGGCTCAAAATATACTATTCCAAACAATAGAGATCCAGCTTTGTCTACAGCTGAGAGGAATTCGTCTCCATTGAAGTATTTACTGCAAAACAGTCGAGCTGATACAGAGGACTTATGATTTAGCAGCTTCCATGCCTGTTTGGCGACGAGAATTGATTGAACATGGACGGGTTGAAAGACCTAAGACCTCCCAAGCCTTTTGGGAGGCACAATTTTAAACAAGAAGATTTCTCCACTTTTCTTCCATATTCCCTCCAGTGAACTAGAAATCATTGACGATCAGAACCTATTCCACCTATTCCTGAGTCATCTCCATGGCCTATGGATCCAAAGCCTATTATGCTAGTTCTTGCCGATCTTGGGGCATTATTAAAAATGGAATCGCTTCTTCCAGCTCTGGATAGACGAAATTCTTTCTTATCAATTGCTCTTGTTTTAGTTTAGTAATTTGTCTTGTCCTTTTCTAATTCCGCTCTTGTTTTAGTTTAATGATTTGTCTTGTCCTTTTCCTTATTCTCGAGGGAGCGGAGGTCTCAATTCGAAACTTTTCTTAGGTTCCCAGGAACCAAGTTTTTCTTTCTCACTCCTTACGCACTTTTTATATTACTTCATCCATACTTTTTGCGAAACGGGGTTCACTTATTCAAGAGGAGAAGAAAAAGTTGTCCCCCGGAGGTCGACTAAGGCTTATTAAACATGTTCTAGTCTTCCTATGCACATATTCTAATTTTTCCTAGAGTTTGATGTCCACACACTAATTACCTTTACAAAGAGCCAAGAAGAATAATATATCTTAAGAATTTTCCGTTCATTCTTAGCATGTTTTATACGTTAGATTAGACAAATAAAACAATAACAAATATGATAAAACGCTTTATGAAATTTGTCAAGTATATGTTTAGTACAGTCCAACATATGCTTAATAGTTTTTTCCTTTCTTCGAATGAATATAACTGGAGAGTCCATTTGAGATGACCAAACCATACAAAATTGAGGCGTTTCTCATTAGAATGTTAAGAAGGGATCGATAACAATAAATTGAAACAGAAGTCATAATTAAATGGAAATAAAATGCATTATAACTTATTCAAGTTCAACGAGTGATCAGCTGGGCTGCTAATTAATAAACCAACTATTCAGCTTGAATTTAAAAACTGGACAATTGCATCAAATCTAAATTCATCACCAGGTTCAAACATTTCTTCAAGATCTTCAAAACTCTGTTCGGTCCGCAAATCTTTGCTAACTCTTAAACCTTCCTGCAATTTTCAAAAAGATGAATAGGAAGAGAAGTTCAAATTTAGGTTCGACTTACTAAAAATGTAAAACAAGAACATGAAGAAGTTTGGATGAGATCCCTTGGATGTTGGCCATTTATTATGGGTATTATCAGGATGAGGAAAGAAGAACAAGAAGATAAGAACATAAATCTGTCAGGTTCCATTGAAGATGGAAGTGCGGTAAACAGGCTCCTTTGAATTACACGGTAGACCCGTAATGATCTGATGGAAGAAGGTGTGGTGATAGATAGACTGTATACAATCATATTCAGAAAACAGCAATTGTAAATAAGCTTCTTAATCTTGTCCTATACCAATGTCGCTATTCTTTGAAACCATGTCACACAAATAGTGAAAGCACTTCACTTTGCTCCTTCAACTATTGGATTAATCAAACTCATCTTTCTTGGATAGACCATATCATCCATGATTGCTACTGCCATCTCAACCACCCAACACCACATGCCACCAACCAGATATTTTACCAATCATTAACAAAATGGGACGGGTATTCAATGTGACTGGTAAAGATTTTAACCACCGACTTTGAGAGTAAAATCAAAAGTTATATCAAATGCTCACTTTAGCTCCCACATAAAAAATTGTGCTAATTCGAACCTAAATATTCAATCCCAACAGAGGGAGCAGTTATCTCTGGAGCATTGGAGCATGATTCTTCAAAACCATTGATGTGTCACAATATAGTTCACAATACCCACTGAAGCATCACGCATCTATGGCATATCTATAATGGTAAATAGAAAATCTTGCTGACGGAAGTTACTTGGGATCTTTCTAACTTTAAGAGAGATTTCCAAATAAAAATATAAGGCAGAGGAACTCTTAACTGCTGACGTCTACAGAGAAAATGTCTTTTTACGGAGTAGTTTACTATGGGCTTGTATGATAAAGCTACTTTTTTTGCTAAAATGCTGTCAAATTTCATTTTTAACCACATATTTCATTCCACCCACAACTTTTCTCCACTTGTTAACCCCACATTTCATAGGATCAACCAACTTTTATAACTTTATTTGCTAAAAAAGCTACATCAAACAGGCACTCAATCTAGATAAGGATCTTGATGAGCCACTTTAATAGTATCTTGAAACGTCTTGCATTCATTTCTATGCATTAACATACCTCAAGATAAGTAAGACAAATATTGCTGACACTTGGAACACAAACATTTATATAGCTTGCTCCAATACTTAACATGAGCTGGTGAACAAAGCACAAAATAATATAAATCTTCAAATCTCTCCCTTAAGATAATCGTGACTAGTTATTTCTTGGCCGTGAAGTTCCCCACGTGTCACTTAGTAGAGCAAAATACTATATATTTACATAAAGTTTTAGATAGTTGACACAAGGTTGTGCTAAATATCAAGAGAACAAGTTCATGGATAATCTCTAGATATCTCCTGCATTAACACCTCAAGTGCAAGACACGTAAAAACTATTCCATTAAGGTACTCTCATCCGAAGCCAGCACTCCAAGAGTACCTCAGCTCCTTAATAAAAATCTTTCTAAAGGCCCGTATAGATACAAGTCAGAGGCTGGGCAATTCTGCAGCTACTCAGTAGCAACAATTTTAAAAATTTTGTACTTGTCGAAAAATAGAACTTAATTAGTGGAATGAAAAACTTTTGTTTAGCCTTCACAGAACACCACAACATTCATGTCTATTTCAAACAATATGAACTAACTACATTAACATATGTGCAACATGTGTCATGTGCATAGGCAGACAACTTAATCCAGTGCTTTTCTCAGGGGTTAAGGAGAGTTCTCTCTATGGAAATCTTCTTCATTAGCACTTCATAAGAGTTCCTTATTCCTCCACATTCTAGAGAATCTCTCTAAGAGTTAGAGAGAAAAAGGTTTTACTGGAAAGATCTCCATGTCTGGAGATGCCTTGAGATTTCAAACACTCGTGTGACAACTGTGAACCACATTAACAAATTGAAGGTTTTGAAAATTGCACTAAAAAGTTAAATGCGATTGATTGCATTCTAGGCGTGAAATGAATTTTGTACACATACTTGTAAAAAAAGTATGTTAGTCATTTTCATGATAATCTAACCATGAAATACCAAATTTCTATAAATGTCCGACCCAGATTAAGTGACGTAATTGTCTTGACAGTCAATACAATTGAGGGTTTTACTCTATATCATTCTTCCTCCCACCCTCATGTGTAACTTTAGTTCCTCGTTTGATGAGATAGTTAAAACTCAGAGAAAATATAAACTGATACTATGATATGATTCCTAGCACTTAAAGGTGAGGATTCCTGGAATTTCTTCAAACTTAAAAGCTTTTGGAGAATGATACTAATAATGAAATACCAAGGAAAAATCGTCTAAAATGTGAAGTAATCAAGCTAAACTAAACATAGGCTAAAAACTTTACAGTAAGTCTATGAAAATAGGTGCGATGAAATAAATGAAGCACATGGTTAAAACGCAGAAATATACCTTATCTACATATTCTGCTATCGTACTGTTAATTACTTTCTCAATTACTTGCTTGTAAACTTTTGAGGGACCAAGAATTTCCAAAAGAATGTCCCTGGGTATCTGCAAGGAACAAAAGAAACCCATCAGCACAGACACATGCTTCAAATAACAAGGTTGTAACTGCTTCCAATATGAAAACAATTACCATTTATACACATGAAAATGCAATGTATTCAGAATAGATCTAAAGGCACAAACTTTATTCTATTCCTCGTTTAACTGAGAAATACATATGCTATTGTAACTATCCAATAGTAACCAGTATAGATTTACTACAGAATATAAATGTAACAAAAAAGTAAGGTAAGCGGATTCCAAAGATATCAAAAATTCTAACTAACCAAAATAACAAAATAATCGAGCAAATTGTTTATACATAGTTGTACCATCTAATGCACGACCATGAATTTAAAAAAAAAAAAATCCTGTTTAATGGAAGGAATATTCCATGTGCTGCATCAAATAGTAAAATAAGAAAAAAGCATGAACATAAAGCCCATGTAGGTTTATGTAATACAGCTAACAGGAGTAATTCACAAAGGCCAGAGAACAGAAGCTTACATTAGGAGTCTTCCCTGGCAGTTTTCAGTTGTTCCAGGAGGGTGAATAATGCCAAAGGAGATATAATAGAACATATCAGAAATATAATTAAGAAAAAGATAAAAAATAATTGTATGAAAAGGAAAAAGAAGAAGATTTGGCATCATAAGTAAATTGATGGATGACTTGTACAAAAAGTAGTTTTGATGTTAAAAGGAAAATAGATAGGGCATACCTCCTTTTACTCTTCGAAATCCTGGAATTGGCTGAGCATCAGCAACCATCTTGGAGAACACATTGTCAAATATTTGTTGGGTTTTAATGCCAGATACCTCTACACTTATCTTATGAGAAGCAGAAATTTAAGTAAATGAATAATTGATAAAAGAGAGGACTTGAAAATATTTTTTCCAATTAATACATTTTGTGTGCATCTTTCAACTATTTAAGCACTGGAGGACATTAACATACAACTTAAATTATTCACGTTTCATAGTAAAAAAAACAAAAATTATACCACAGAGAAACTCATTTCTCTCACCTTTAATTCATTAGTTTTATCAACACTGCTGGTAGTAATAGTAAAGTCTTCAAATGGAGAAGAAACTTCAACATCTTTCACACCTGATGAATAGAACAATCAGAGAAAGGCCAGCAACGCCATTTGTACAACGTTAAAAAGCTATAAATCAAATGGAAACAAAAAAGACTTGGGTTTGCACCTGATGATGCAGCTGCAACGGTAAATAAGTACTTATTAGTGGGCCTGCATGAGAAGGAGATAATCCTAGTATGCAAGATGAAAATAACTTTCTGGGATCATCATTTAAAAATAATATTGATCTGGAGATGATGTTTATGCGTGAGTATCATTCTGTTAAATTTTTTTGGGAATTAAATGGGATTGATAAACATTGGGTCACATAATGAACAGAGAAGAAAGAATATAATCTATTAAGTGCATAACAAAATGGAAAAATGGTAGTTGATTGAAGTTACGTGCATGAACTTTCTTCTCCATCCTTTATCTTTTGCGGGCACTAATTAGGCATTACCAACTAGGAATTCACAACAAATGGTGTGTGATTTGAAAATGTGGATAAGCCTTTTCCAAAGGAGATAGTTTCCAGAAGTCAAACTACAAGAAAACTTTTGTAAGATATTTCAGTTCTATAGAATCTTTACCTGGTCTATCAGCTATATACTATGTTCTCTCTGCATTACCTTGAGAGAGAGCTAAATATGAGATGTGAAACGGAGAGAAACAACAAAGTAGACAGATATGGTAGAGAGAGGGAGAGAGAGAGAGATGGAGTCCCCTCTTGAACAAGAGTTGCAATCTATCTGGTGTGAGAGAAAGAAATCTGGTCTATTAGAAGTCAAAAGATCTGGTTTCAGCCCCAGAAATGCACAGAGGAAAGATTGACGGCTGAATCTTTGTCAAGTAAAAAGCAGCAGTGTTTTAAGATCGCTTTGGAACATCACAAACAAGTTTTATGTCTCACATTTTGCCACCAGTTGAAAATGTCTTTATAAAGAAATAAGGGAGAGCTCTCCAAATACATTTTATGTTTCCAATATTTAGAAAGGAAATACAGAGAGATAATGCTTTGGTTATCAAATGGGGCCTTAAACTATCCACACCTACAAACTTAAAGATTAATTAAATTTAGACCGGCAAAAATTAAAATGGGGAGAAAGAAACACCTGCCAGGAAGTTTCTGAGGATCATATCCCATATTGATACAAAAGCACTTTCTTCTAGATGATTGGCACTGGATAAAAACATCTGTGAATTGCTTCTTGGTTATGATCTGTTTAACAAACAAGCAAGTTTATAAGCTATCTTGTATCAGAAAATGCGTTGACGTTGATACATGTAATTTGGACTAAATGCTAATGAATTGAAAAGAGCAACTACGGTGTCAAGAAATGGTGTCAAAGTATCACCTCGAAACTTCCAAACCTCGAAATTCCATAAGGATACAATAATAAAACTTCGAGATGTAATCACCAAATAAAGAAGAAATTATTAAAGAAGTCATATTAAAGGATTGAAATGCAGTTAACATAAAAAGGTGTCAAGTGTGCTCCTTGGTAAGTATGATCAATTGTATTCAAAAGAAATAGTTGTCTCTGTGAACACCAAGACTTATTAATTATCTTTTTGGTCTAGGTACTAAGGATGATTAATTACATGAACGCATATTATGAAGAGCTGAAAAGCTAAGTTCTAAGGTAAAGCATGAGAAATGCAGAAGCCTCGAGGTCAGAGTGCCATTCCTGATGAGCTCCTACGTTTTATTTGTAGCTTCGGTCACCATCTTAGATGCTCATAAAATCATTAGTGAAGACTTCTAAAATACAAACAGCCGTACAAAAGGAGAAGCTTGCATATGAAATAATGAACTTCTATAAGGACTTTTGCACACTTCCAATTGAATAATTTTATCTATCCTAGACCAACTGCAACAATAAAGATCATCCAGCATCTAATTAACCACTTTACATTAGTCATATGGCGACTCAATAAATGCCAAAAGCTGTATGCTGCCCCCATAAGAATCTCAAATAATCTAACCAAAGACTTTGAAATGAAAACTGTACTGTACCCAAAAAGCAAGATTTCAATTAGTGAGGAAATCGGTATCTCTCATCGAATAAAACATACTTCGCAAAAGCTAAACAACTATAGGAGCATATAAATCAGCAATTCAAGAATAAATTACAGAAAATTAACAACAAAAACAAGAACAAACACTGCGTGTGAAAAAATTTAGTTAGTATTTTCACCTTGGTATTTAAATTAAAGAAATGGGCGTGGGGTTTAACGGCTATCATTTCCATATCCTCTGCTCCTTCCTCTTTGCACGCTCGTTCTGTCTCCAATATTTCCCTCTATCTTTTGATAGTGTTTGGCTAAGCTTAAATGACATATGAGACCTGTTTGATTTTTTATTTTAAAAAAAAAAAAGAAAAAAAATAAATAAAAATCTAAGTTAAAATAACAATTAATTTTTATTGACTAGTTATTTTTATCAACTTTTGAATTATTTCATTACGACGTGTTTGAGTCCCATTTCTGTTGAAAATAAATTTCGTAATTGAGAATTTCTGGAGAATTTGTAATTAAAAGGTAAAAAAAAAAAATTTAATTTAAGTGTAAAATATTTTATTGTGAGAATATATGATTGAAAATGAGTTTCAAACGAGGGCTAATTTTTATCAAAATTTACTGAACTTTAGCTAAATCAATCTGTGGCTAAATTTTCTATTAAATATGAGTGCCTGATGTTAACAATTTCGAAAGTACGATGGCTTTTGATAAAATATTAAAGTTTAGTTTTAGGCCCCCATAGTCTTCGTAATGGTTGCTTTCTTTCTTTCTATCCCCAATAGATGCAAACTTGTTTGGATAAAATTATAATGTGATAGGAATGAAGGGTGAATAAGTAGGTAGTAATTGATCTTAAGGTAAGCGTGATTAAAATTAATATCGACTTTAATCATTAAATTTGTAAGAAAATTATAATATTTGCCAAACATGAACGGTTGACTTACAAGGAAATTATTAAAATAGCTAATCTTTACCGAGTATTTTGACTAAAGTTTATGTGATAATAAGTTCAGGGACTTGTTTGATGCGTGGTTAATAAGTGAATAATAATTGCAAATTATAATGGACTAATATATAAAAAGTATTTTTGATCATTTTAAAAAATTGATTAAAATTTAAATTTTAAAAAAATCATTATTTTCAATCATATATTCATATGATTCACAATTTTGCAACCAAACATTTCATCAAATTTTATCAAAATTTGATAAAAATAAGATTTTTACTTAAACCAAATGGGGGCATAATTAGATTACACGGTAGGTAAAGTATGATTTTACAAGAAGGAAAATTATTGTTGAAGTCCTCAACTTTTAGCACTGTGGCAAGATAATCACATTTTTTCTTCTTTAGATTTTTTATTTTCCCTATTTTTGAAGTGTATGAATATTGAATTGGATTGGATTCATCAAATTACCTCATAAAAAATGAACAACCCGACCTGACACGCCTACACAGCCAACCCACCTAACCCGTGTAAACAAAAAAATTGACCCAACCCGTTCGGGTTGGCTCGATTTGGATGGGTTCGATCGGATTTTGTCCACCCCTAATTGCGACCATGTTTGATTTGAATTTAAAAAAATAAAAATTCTTAGTATATTTTGAAAAAGGGGACATTCTTCCTACTCAAAAATTTGACACACTTATCGTGATCTATAATTTAAGTCAACCAAATGCTCACTATATATTTCATTAAAATCATGAAAAAGTTTGTTATAAGCACTTGAAATCTATAAGATATTCACCGTTTGATTGATTTAAATTAAATGTCACGATTATTTGTTAAATAAGTGTGTCGAATTTATGAGTAGGAGAAACGATTCTGTTTGATAAAAGTTATTGAAGTGTGTAATTGAAAAGTCGATAAAAATTATAAATTCCACAAAATATATAATTAAAAATGAATTTTAAAAAATGGAGTTCAAACATGGACTTAATTTTAGAAAGGTTGGGAACCTGAAGGCATCAAAAAGTTCCCCATATGTAATTTTCTAGAAAGAAATTTCCTTAAGATCTCGACCATCGATTTCAAAAACAATTTTTTAAAATAAATGAATATGATGTTTGACAAATCATATGTTGTAAATGAAGTTTTAAATGGGATTATACATGTAGCATGACTCGAATAGCAAATACCCTAATGAGAAAAATGAAATTTGTCGAAATCTTAAAAAAAATCATCATATCTGGGATATTTTAATTTGTTCTGTTAATTGAGGAGGGTAACATGGCAAGGTGAGGTCGCCCTTTCCTTGCTCGTCTTGTCGAGAATATTTGATAAACAGGACAAGGACAGAATGTAATGAAAATTTAAATATAACATCTCGTTTAAATTTTTTAAAATTAGTTTTTATGTCTCTTAGCCCCTGTTTGACACCCATTTTTTCTCATTCTCATTTTCATTTTTTTTCTCTTTCTTCATTTCAACCACACATTCTATCAATAAAATAATACTACACATAAACCCAAAAATTCTCATTATTTTTTAACCACACATTCTTCCATCAATCACTATTTCAGAACTTATTTTTTGTCAAAAATGGATGTCAAACAGGGCCTTAATAAGCTTTAAATTTAAAAAGAAAAAAATAAAATAAAACAAACTATTGGGAATAAGTTTGGAGAATAAGCACGGTCCGACAAAAAATGGAACGGAATATTTTGCCATTCCTATCATTAATATCACGATTCATGTGCCAATCGGCTCAAACCTTCTTAAACCCTGACCCTCAATTCGATCTCCTTCACTCTCACACCGGCGTCATCGGTCAAGAAAATTTATCACTACTATATTAAAAGAGAGGATGGCCAAATTACTGTTCATTTTTGCACCCTCTGTTTCACACTTGAATTGGATGTTTGCTATTCATTATCTGGATTTGACAATTGATATTTGAGCTGTGATATTTTAATTTGATAGCCATAATTGTTGACTG